TCGAGGATTGACGAGATCCAGTAGATTTCAAGGCCCTAGCAATAGTATCATTGCATTTTGAATGCCTAATGAATCTTCCTCTAAAGCGCTTGCAGTGCAAAGAGTGACGGCCCTTGGAGTTGACCGATGTTTGAAAGAGGATACAGTGATAAGGTATCACCATATCACAATTAAGTCGAAGACCGATGACGTGACGTAGCTAATCATTGCTTAGGAGCTGGTTAAGGTTTCGCGATGGGAAAGCCTCTATCCCAGTCCTTCTGTAGTTGCCGAAGAGGGAGGATCGACTAATGAGAGAGACTTCCATAGATCAATTGCCTGCAGAAGCAAGGGGTTAGGATGTTTTATGAGTGAGTGCATGATGGGCTCACAAGACAGGCGAGAGGATATGAATGCACTAACGGAAAGTAGGGGGCGATGCCATTGGATTTGGTTAGTAAGGTAGCCTGTAACCAAGATAGGTCCCCAAATTTAAGATTGAGTAATCTTCTGTGAGGCGTTTAATCTTGAGCTCATGCGCAGCGAAGTTGACATCATATTGAAAGATTCGCAACTATCGGAGTGCATATAAAATTCTCGGAATTAGAAGGTAGTTCTTCGATAGGAAGAAAGCTTGGTGGGTTGGGAGACAGGATAGTGTATCGCGCATGAGGATCTCTGAAATATTGGCAAGGAACTTGATAATGGACTCGTTCTTACCTACTGTAGAACCGAGATGTGTCAGAGTTCAATGATGTATGAGTGAACATAAGATCGTGATTAAGGTCAATGATCCCAAGGGGACAATATTCGCTCTTGTCTGGATTAATTCGCAGTTCCAAACTGCTCTCGCTGGATTTTATCTTGAGTGCCTTTATCACTTCATCCGGTAAGCCGCCTAGTATACCATCGTCGATATACCAATTATGAAGATTTCACTTGCATTGGTCATTTATGCCTCGTACCAGGCTTTTTGCCCAGACAGGACAAAAAGGAACCAAGAAGGTCACCTTGTTGTATCTCATCACTAAAAGGAATTATTCTATCTCCAAATTGAAGGTGCGAGGGACTAGCATAACAATCGAAGATAAATTGTGAGTATTCTGGGTAGAAGGTGAGGATAGGATTTAGAAACGCTCTTCGTCTTAGAGAGGTAAAGACGTTAGAAAAGTCTATTTTAACTAGGATATCGTCGCTGGGGTATGTTTGTAAATACATTCGGGTCATGTGAATGGATACCTCACATCCACCTTTTACGTTGAAGCCTAATTGATTCGGGCACAGGTGATTGGATATTGTGAACAATATTCTGTTTACTACTAGCTTGGCGGTTAATCGGCGCCAAGTGGTTCCAATAGCGATAGGGCGAATATCTTTATTAGGTTTATGGAGAGCGATGAGTTTAGCTAAGTATAGGAGTGGAACAATGGCGGGTGGTATGTCTCCAGTAAGCATATGGTTGATGAGTTAGGTAATTTTTCCCAAATATGTGATGTAAGGTGCGGTTAGATCCTGTAAGAATATTGGGCGAAACCCATCAAACCCAGGTGAGGAATCGCGATAGGAGAGAATAGCCTTTTTAACGTCGCTTGTGGTATAAGTGGCTAGGAGCTCCAGGGTAAGACGGTGTTTCATCCTTAAAATAGTTGTGAGTAGTGTTTTAGGAGAAGAGCTTGATAAGTTGCTTGATCGTAGGGAGTCAGCTTATTGACAGAGGTTGCCAGGCGTATGGCGGATTTAACATTCAGGTTCTCAAGTTTTTTAGATATTAGCCTAGCTTTGGTGAGCAGGTCATTTTTATGATTCTTATTTTTATCTGTGTCATTACCTTTAAAGAATGTGGAAATGTGATTAATGAGTAAGGGGTAGATAGTTGCATCCTTAATGTGTCATGTCAGGGATTTTTTTCTGGCGGTATCAGGAACTTGCAAGGTAGTAAAGGCAAATGACAGGGTGTCCAGCCAGTGTTTTTCAGAAGAATAATAATTTAACAAGGAAGTCAAGTTTTTCTGAAGCCTTGCTCCCTTAGGTATTCGTGGAATTATAAATGGCGTTGGTGTGACTTGAAATATTTCTTGATCTGTGGAGTCAGCTGGATCAAACGTGGAAACATTTGTGCCAGTGTAGATAGAAACTGTTGGGCTAGTAAGCACATCAGCCAATGAGGTGGGAATGTTGATTATGGGTTGTTTAGTTGTGAGGGCAAGAGCTAAAAAGGCATTAAGGGTTAAATGAATGACTGGTGATAAGATGGGTAGCCCATATTGAGGACACTTGATTTTCTGGTTTTGATGAGATGACAGGCCCCAATTTGGTTATTTTTATAAATTTATTACTCAGTGGGCAGTTATGTTTAATATAGGTGCTGTGCTGAGGTCTGGGTAAGCTCATGAATTGGAAATTTTTACCAGATTGAGGGTGAAGGTGATTATCATTATTGTTAAAATTCACAATTGTGTTTATGGCTAATTGTATGCATTGCTCTGTAAATTAAAATTCATATAAGTAAAATGTGATGAATTTTTTTTTGTTGACAATGACCATCAATCATATATTCTATTTACTAATAAATTTAAAACTCTTTATATGGAATTATTCTATCAATAGTTATTATATTGCCAATCTAATATCAAATAGGCACAATTTTAATATTCTATTCTCAAATGAGTTTTTTATATGAGATCATGAAATGAAAGCTGTAATTGCAAAGATGGTTTCATAATGGGGTAATTGCCTAATATCATTAATAACAGCATTATTGTATGGTGGGATTTGTGATGGAGAGTGAGGAATATTGATGGTGAGTAGAACCAGAGTGTGTATACTTGAACCCCCATGCAGTATAATATGCCTCAAGGATGACAAAGTAACATTCAATTTTGTGATCAATTTGGTGATTGTGTTATTTAGAATATCAAATTTATTTGATTGAAATAATTTATAAGAATATGATATTAGATTAGAGTGAATATAATGTTATTTTACGTGGTTTTTAACTAATTAAAATATATTTTAAGCTTAATTACTTATTAACTTATAAAAGAACAGCAGTTGGATAGCTGATATTATAATTTGTATTATAAGCCTAAATCATCTGGTGTTATAGATTATTTAAAATGTCATTGCAAATGGATATCGAAATCGATGTAATTGAGTCAGACAATGATAATCTTAATGGTTAAAAGTACCCTGGAAGAAAATGTTCTTGATAATAATAATACAAATCTTCCATTTTCAATTAATGTTTAAAAAAAGGTGGCTACAAATTTATTTGTTTAAAATGTATAGTAGCTATATCCTCAAAAACACTTTTATTTTTAAATCCTAATAGTATTTTTATTTTGTAAGAATGTTCATACCAACAGTTTTAAAGGATAGAAAATCATCTTAATAATTTTGGTATAAGGGAGACTACATTCAAAAAGACCAATTTAATTCAAACAACTGTTTAATTATATTGCACATGACAATATTTCTCAGAAACTGGATAAAGTCATTGTTGATTTTATAATTGATACAGCCATATCATTGGATGATAATCCATCATTTACCATGGTAATCAAAATTCTATCCCCTGGTACAACCATTTTTTGTCACCAGACATTAATGATTAAGATAGCAGATAACTTTGAAGTGATAAAAGATGCTCTAATCGATTAGGCTCATGGTAAAGCTGAATAGTCTACAAAGATGCCTTAGTTAGGACCACAAAAACGAGTTCCATTGATAATTTTTTTGAAATAAAGGATACTCCTATAATAGAAAATCCCCTTTTGGTAATTTTTCTTATATTAAAAATATGTATATAAAATTAAATACTGCCTTGACCTCAAGTGTTATGGTTGAGAGATTATTTAGCAAGGCGAAACTTATATTTTTAAATTATCGCTTTAGACTTGAGGATGATAGTATAAAAGTAATTTTATTATTAAAATGAAATAAAAAATGAATATTACCATAAATAGTTATTTTTATTACATTAATTTTAATCTTTTTATATAAAATTTTAAATAATCAATAACTAACTATATTTAAATATTTATAAATGTTGATTTTTGTGTATTTAAGCAAAAAATTAATAAATTTATTTCTAAATTTTTTATATAAAAAGTAATTAAAAAAATAGTAGCTAATAGCGCACAATTTTTTTTGATGGGTAGCAATAAAGGTAGTGCACTACTTTTTTGACAAATAGCGTTAGTGGTAGTGCATTACTTTTTTTGATAAATAGCATTAGCGGTAGCACTGTACTTTTAAAAGTAGCATTTGACAACTTTGCTTATTAGAAATTACAACTCTATGCCAAATTTTGTTATAAATTATTTTCGATTTCTCAATAAGAAAAGAAGGGATTTCAAATAAAAACATTTAAAAAGTCGAGATATAAATTAATGGTAGAGCCCTGAATCAATCCAAGTCACATCTAAATTGAATAGACATTCTCTTAGACTTAGTCATATGCTGGCCTTCATTTTAAATTTATTTTGGACTGAGTTTGGTATTCTGGCCTTCATTTTAAATTTATTTTGGACTAAGTTTGGACCTAGGCAAAATTTTAATTTATTTTTTAATATTAAGACTACAACATTTTTTTTTATTCTTTACCACTTTTATTTGTGTTCATTGAAATATTGTACTTTTTAGACAATACAATATAAAAAATTATATCAGGTTAGACTCTCTGTTCCTAGAATACAATTTTGTATCAGTTCAGATTTAGACCCTTGAAAAAATTTTTAATTAGATCAAATGAGCAAAAAAAATTTGCAGACACCTGATAGGCCTGATACAGAGTTAGCTATTGGTGTCTATAAAAATATCAAAATGAGTATGCTTTTTATAATAACAAATAATTAATATAATTAAATTTCCATTAAAATTTGAGTGTCTTTTACTGCTAAAAGATTCAATTCTTTTAATTTTTTAAAGAATCTAATTATAATTAAAACTTTAGTTTACAAACTTGCATATTACCAGATTATTTATTAATAAATAATGTATAAAATTAATTAATACAATACCTAACTATTGCCATTGAAAATAGGAATGGTAGTTCATGATCCAAACTACAAATTATTGATTTTTTTGAATCAAGTTGTACTTCTTTTTGTCTAATTTTGGGTATTACTAAATCTATTGTGGCAGCCAAGGCCAAAGGAAAATCAGTTGTGTCTCTATTATAAATATTTAGTTATAGAACAATTTATATATATTAAATTTTAGCATTTTTGTTTCAAAAAAAACCATCGAATACTTATGACCTATTTTGTAAAAGTAGAAGGGTATTAACACCTTCCAATTGAGAAGGCACATCATTTGAATAAATTTTATCTCGCAATTCCTTCCAAAGCACTATAAAATATTTGATGTTAATTATAAAATGTTGTAGCTTTTAAATTACATAAGTACATAAATAAAGTAACTTTTTACTTTTTAAGAATTATTCAATGATATATATAACTATAGATTGGCGATTCATTCATTCAATGCATTATAAAAGTGTCCACACATTGTAATCAGCTGTAGCGCCATTTTGTAGTTTGGTTATCCATTATTTGTCAGCAAGAATTATTAATATATAGAAAACAAGTCTAGTTTTAAAGGTGATTTATGATATAATATTTTATAGTATCTTTTATTCTTAAATTTTCATAAGACTTTTTTTTATGAAGGTGGAGTAGGTGATTATATTTAAAAAATGAATCTAAGACTAACCCACCTATTAATTTTATTTTCCATTATTTTTTATAAATATGTTTATGAAGTATATATTTAGTAATTTTATTTTATGTCCACAATAATAAATATTTTAAACTAAACTTATTTTTATAAAATTGAGTAATTCTTATATTTTTAAATTTTAATAATAAATCAACATAAGGAGAAAGCTAGAAAGAGACAGGCACTTTGTCGTATCAAGAAAAGGAACGAACAAAGTCTTATTCCTACAACATCCAACCATCTTGAAGATACTGGAAATAAACAATTTGCTTCAACATCCAATCATCTTGAAGATACTGAAAATCAAGAAGAAGTTGAACATTACTGTGGGCCATTAAAATCTATTTTATTATTTTTTTTTAGATATAATTTTTTCAGTGATCCTATATCAATAAAAACAAATCAAGTTAAAAATTTTAATTTATGACAATAAATAAATTTATTTAAATTAGATTCCACGGATCATATTGCCGAAATGTGCCATTCAACGGACTCTTAATCTACCCAAATCAATAAAAACAAACGAAGTTAAAAAATTTAATTTATGTTATCAAATAGATTTTTTTAAAATTAGATTCCACGATATATATTACCGAAATGTACCATTCAGCAGAATCTTAATCTACCAAAATCAATCAAAATAAACCAAGTTAAAAATTTTAATTTATCTTAATAAATTAATTTTTTTAAATTAAATTCCACGAATCATATTACCAAAATGTACCATTCATTCAACAGAATCTTAATCTACCCAAATCAATAAAAACAAACGAAGTTAAAAATTTTAATTTATGTTAAAAAATAAATTTATTTAAATTAGATTTCACGGATCATATTGCCGAAATGTGCCATTCAACAGAATCTTAATCTACCCAAATCAATCAAAACAAACAAAGTTAAAAATTTTAATTTATATTAACAAATAAATTTATTTAAATTAGATTCTACGAATCATATTACCGAAATGTACCATTCAACAGAATCTTAATCTACCCAAATCAATAGAAAACGAAGTTAAAAATTTTAATTTATGTTAACAAATAAATTTTTTTAAATTAGACACTACCAAAATCTACTATTCACCAAAATCTTAATCTACCCAAATCAATAAAAACAAACCAAGTTAAAATTTTTAATTTATGTATAACAAATATTTTAATAAATATAAATTTCTGAATCACATCTCATAAGATAGATAAGAAAATTTTTGATTTATCCATCATCAGGGGTTATTCAAAATTTATTATTTATTTATGAAGTATATGGTTATTAATTTTAATTTATGTCCACAATAAAAAATATATTTCATCAACTAATAAAAAAGAAAATTCTTATTTCACTATCATCTTGACGGGCAAAATATAAGATAAAATAAGTATGTGCTACATAATCGTAATTACCCATGGAATATTTTAGAAAAAATTATTATAAGCCTGGCATATGTTTACATCAGAGCCGGTGTATTGATTGTGAAATCAATACCCATTGTAACTTCAATACCGTATTGATATCATTATAGATTCATACCGTAGTGATATATTGCTATTGTAGAATCAATACCGTATAGATTTTTAAGATGTTTGCATCGCTTCAAATATTTTGGCGACCATTAAAATTATAAAATATTTATTTATTATATATTTTTTCATCGCTTTATAAATATTGGCGGCCATTTTCGATTTGTAAAAATTTTATTTAAAATAGATTTAATAGTTTTAAATATATTAAAATGATAAATATGATTTTCTATTCTTTTATATAATTTATCAGGGAATTTATTTATTTTACAATTCTTGATATCCTATATATTTTATATGTGTTTACTCATTATTTGTAATTTGTGAAGTGCTATATAATTGTTGATTCAAAGTTTTATAAATGATATTATGAATTCAAATAAATTAAATGGACCTTATTGATTGAGTTTATAAAATTTTGTGATTCATATATAAATGTCGAATCAAAGATTTATAAAAATCAATAACGTATTGATTTTTGATGGTATTGATTTTACAATTACACCGGGACTGCAGGTCTCTGAATAATCACAAAAATATTAAATTATATGTATAATTTTTAGCAGGCCTCAAATTTATTTTATTTATTTTAGATAAATATTTCTGCACAACAATCATTAGTACAAGAACATTATTGTGGATTACTCAACACTAAGTGCGATTATTGCGATTCTCTAAATTTTTTATTGGAAAAACCCACAGATGGCAAATTTAAGAATTGCTGTCATAAGGGTAAAGTTAAGATACCATCAATCCGATATATTCCTTTTTTACAAGACCTTTTATCTAATCCTAACAATGAATTTCATTCAAACTTTATGAAATATATAAGATCTTATAATAGTTCACTTGCGTTCGCATCCATGGGAGCACAGATTTCTAATAGTTTAAACCCAGGCCCATATTGTTTTAGAGTTCATGGGCAAATTTATCACCGAACATCTCATTTATATCCTTCCACTGGGATGCCTCCTAAATTTGCACAACTATATGTCCTTGAGACCACCCAAGCTGTTAATGGCAGTTTACACATGAAAGAAAATTCTGGTTGCAATGAGGATCTCTTAAAAAGATTAGATATTTTAATAAGACAGAATAACCCATTTTCTATTAGTTTTAAAACCTTGGGAGAAATTGAGAAAGAAGAAAAAAATAGGGCTATTCAAGAAAATCGTCCAGTTCAAAAAATCAATATGATTTTTCGTGCAGATCGCTCAAGTGACAAGCGAAGATATAACATTCCTAATATAGATGAAGTAGCTATAATTTTTACAAATGATGATGGTGAACCCCCATTTATCAAGGTCTATCCTCGAGTTGATGGTAGTGATCTGATAAATATAAATATATTAAGCCCTAATCTTGATCCAATGGTATATCCTCTATTATTTCCTTTTGGTGACCCTGGTTGGAAACCAGATTTAAAGGGTGAAGATACAGGGCGTACAAGGGCAAATATCTCACTACTACAGTTTAAAATATTTAGATTAGCAATTCGTGAAAATGAATTCAACCCAATCCTTTTTGCTGGGAAATTATCACAACAATATATTGTTGATTCCTATTTACAGGTCGAGGCGAATAATTTAAATTTTATTAGACAAAATCAGCCAAAATTACGAGTAGATGAATATTCTGGATTAATGGACTACTTGGAAACAAAGTCAAACAATATAATTCCCGGCAAAGCAGTAATATTACCATCATCTTTTCCTCAAAGAAATATGCGAGAACGCTATCACGATGCAATGGCCATTGTGCTCAAATTTGGCAAACCTGATTTGTTTATTACTTTTACATGCAATCCTAATTGGCGTGAAATTAAGGAAAATCTATTTTCCGGGCAAAGTCCTACAGATAGACCAGATTTAATAGCCCGTGTTTTTAAATTGAAATTAAATGAATTATTGTTCGGTATAAATAAAAAAATTTATTTGGTAAATCTATGGCTTCTATATATACAATCGAGTTCCAAAAAAGAGGTTTGCCTCATGCCCATATACTTATTATTTTAAACGATGATAGCAAAATTGAAACATCTCAAGCTATAGATAAATTTGTTTGTGCCGAAATGCCAGATAAAATTCTCGATCCTAAACTTTTTCAGATTGTTACCCATTTTATGATACATGTTCCTTGCGGGATATTTAACCCCAAATCGCCTTGCATGGAAAATGGCATATGTACCAAAAAATTTCCGAAGGATTTTCAAATGGAAACAAGACCAAATATTGATGGGTATCCATATTATAAAAGGCGAGATAATGGTATTACAATTCTTTCTGGTAAACTTACGGATAATCGTTATGTTATTCCATATAATCGATATCTAATGTTAAAATTCAATGCTCATATTAACGTGGAAATTTGTACATCTATTAAATCGGTAAAATATATCTTTAAGTATATTTATTAGGGCTATGACTGTACTAATGTTGACATTAATGTTGCTTCAAATATAAATATTCATGACGAAATTAAATCACATTTAAATGCGCGATATGTGAGTGCATGTGAATCAATGTGGAGATTATTAGAAAATAATATGCATGACCGCTCGCACGCTGTTATTCGCTTAGGAATTCATTTACCTTTACAACAGCCAGTATATTTCACTGCTGGACATGAAAGAGATGCTTTATTGAGATCAGAAAATAATCATACTACTTTAACGGCATGGTTTGAGTTAAATAAGACAGATCTAAATGCTAGACAATATCTTTATGGGGAAATACCTTATCATTATGTGTTTACAAATTACCATTGGAAACTAAGAAAAAAACGATTAAATGTAATTTCGAGAATGTATTCCGTTCATCCTAATTCTGGTGAACGATTCTTCCTTCGATTATTATTACTTCATGTTTGCGGGGCTACAAGTTTTGATTATTTAAAAACTATTAATGGAATTTTAATGAGTACTTTTAAAGAGGCAGCTATTAAAAGAAATTTGTTATCAGATGATAAAGAGTGGGAATCATGCTTAGAAGAGGGATCAATATATCAAATGCCGTCACAACTTCGGAGTACTTTTGCCTTTATCTGCATTTTTTGTCAGCCTGAAAATCCTGCATATCTATGGAATAGGTTCAGATTTATGATGATTGAAGATTATTTGCGTCAATATTCAGAAGTAATTGCAATAAACATGGCTTTAATGGACATTGAAAACGTTTTTCTTGATCATGGTTTATGCTGTCAAAGTTTTGATCTTCCTTCACCTACAAAAATCCCCCCAAAACAACATTATGATGCCCATGTTGAAGCTGCCGATTCAATCGAGCGTATATCTAAATTAAACCGATTACAAAAATATGCTTTTGATTTAATTATACAAGCGATTGAATTAGAAAATATTCCAGAAATATATTTCTTTGTGGATGGCCCTGGAGGTTCAGGTAAAACGTATCTTTACAATACCTTAATGTGTTATATAAGAGCAAAAAATCAAATTGTATTGCCTTTTGCAACCACCGGCATATCCTCTATTCTTTTAAATGGGGGAAGAACCATCCATTGCGGATTTAAATTACCTGTGCCTATCTTTGAAACTTCTACATCCCATATGAATTTACATAGTTCGCTAACTCTAGATATTAAAAATAGCAAATTGATTATTATTGATGAGGCCACAATGATGACTAAACACGCTTTGCGATGCATTGACTGATTACTTAAAGACATTATGAAAAATTTCCACCCATTTGGCGGAAAAGTAATTTTATTAGGTGGTGATTTTAGACAGACTTTACCAGTAGTGCCTAAAGGCTCCAAAGTCGATATTATAGAGTCCTGTATAAAAAGTTCATATTTATGGAGTCATTTTAAAATAATACATTTGATTGATAATATGCGTATTTCATCAGATCAAGTTGATTAGGTAACTTAAAATTGGAGATGGGCTATCACGCAGCAATTCTGATCTTCCTACAAATAGTGTTGAAATCCCACCTTATTTGCTTGAAAATGATTCATTAATAAAATGTGTGTATGGTAATTCTATAGAAATTGCTGATATAGATAGTCTTTCTACTAAAATAATATTAACCACCAAAAATAAAATTGCACTTACCCTCAACAACGATATCATTAATATAATTTCAGGCCCTATCAAACATTATTATAGTGCAGATTCCATTGAAAGCGATAATAAGGATGATATAATGAATTTTCCACTAGAATTTTTGCATTCACAAACTCCATCCGGTATGCCACCTCACAAGCTAACACTTAAGGTTGGTACAATTGTTATGCTATTACGCAACTTGAGCCCAAAGAAAGGACTTTGTAATGGTACCCGTTTAATCATACGACATTTACATATTAATTTTATCGACGCTGAGGTATTGACAGGCACTAATAAGGGTTATCGAGTTTTTCTCCCACGAATAGATCTAGCTCCAAGTGACTCTCAATTACCATTTACTTTAAAAAGACGACAGTTTCCTATAATTCCCGCTTTTGTGATTACAATAAATAAAAGTCAAGGACAAACTTTTGATCATGTAGGCTTATTCCTCCCTGAGCCCGTCTTTGCCCATGGACAACTATATGTGGCTTTTACTAGATGTAAATCTCAAAATAATATGAAAATTATGATTTTGCCATCAGAATTACAAGGAAAAATTTTAAAAAATGATAAAACATTCACACAAAATATCGTATATAATGAAATCTTAAATTCATAATTTGTAAGAAATTTAAAAAAGTCACCAACTTTGTTATTCACCATCAAATCACCAACTTTACATCATCTTCAAAAACTAAACCACCTTGAGCAAAGAAAAGAGAACTTCTTCACCATCGCTAAACCATCTTCCTCACCAAAAACAATATATTCTATTTTATAATTTCAATTTACACGTTTTATTTCAGGTTATTTACAGCAAACTACGAGCAAGAAAATTACAACATCATCTTCAAAAACGAAACCAACTTGAGCAAAGAAAAGAGAACTTCTTCACCATCGCTAAACCATCTTCCTCACCAACAACAGTATATTCTATTTAATTTCAATTTACACGTTTTATTTCAGGTTATTTACGGCAAACTACGAGCAAGGAAATCACAACATCATCTTCAAAAACGAAACCACCTTGAGCAAAGAAAAGAGAACTTCTTCACCATCGCTAAACGATCTTCCTCACCAACAACAGTATATTCTATTTTATAATTTCAATTTACACGTTTTATTTCAGGTTATTTACGGCAAACTACGAACAAGGAAATCACAACATCATCTTCAAAAACGAAACCACCTTGAGCAAAGAAAAGAGAACTTCTTCACCATCGCTAAACCATCTTCCTCACCAACAACAGTATATTCTATTTAATTTCAATTTACACGTTTTATTTCAGGTTATTTACGACAAAGTACGAGCAAGGAAATCACAACATCATCTTCAAAAACGAAACCACCTTGAGCAAAGAAAAGAGATTGAAATCTCCTTTTTTAGGTAAAATTTTCTATATTATGAAATTTATTATATTATATTTTTTATATGGCTACAAATGCATATGTGTTGTAACCAGATAATCATCAACTCTTGAAGTATAAATATTTATTATATTTTCTTATAATTCATATCTTTGTCTCTTTTTTTCTATTTCTTCCTTCTTATTTTCATTCTTTTTTTCATTTCTTTGCCCCCCTAAAATCCATCTCCTACCTTCACGCGGCGGGGAGTGAACAGTAATTCTGACTAACAGGAGCTCTGGTAAATAATGTTAGTATTTAGGGTGCTAATAAGAGATATTGTTTCATTTTTGTAATTTAAAATATAAATTTCGAAATCACATCTCATAAAAAGGAAAATGTCTGATTCATCCATCATCAAATAAAGGTAAAATATATTATTCATCAATCATTGAATAAAAAAGACAATTCCTCTCTCTTAGTCTTAATGGGTTGGAATTGGCCTGAAGGAGGAGGGGGAGGGGTAAAAAGAATTATCGTAAAAGAACGAATAAAATTCTCATCCCCGTCATTTTTGACGGGTTATCAACTAGTTTATTTATAAAATAATAGAAGCTATACGTTTGGCCCAATCTAAAAATAACAACTATTCAAGTATTTTTTTCATTTTAACAATATTTTTCTTCAAATATATAATATTTGTCATAATTTTCATAAAAGCAATAATATTTTAATTTTTATATTAATATTTGTCACTTTTTTAGAAGAACTTATACAAGTATTATTTTTATTTTAACAATGTTTTTCTTCAAATATATAATATTTGTCATAATTTTCTAAAACCAATAATATTTTAATTCATTTATTAATTTTTATCACTTTTTTCAGAAGAATTAGATCTGGGTACTAAAACAACTGGTCCTATGCAACCTATATTAGGTGCCTATCCATATATTGGAATGGGTAAAGATAAACGATGCTTTCAAACTCAGTGGCACAAATCCTTTCCCTGGATTGAATATAGCATAACCAGAAACTCTATTTTTTGTTTTCCTTGTCGTAATTTTCCCACTCAACCTCAAAAAGGATACCTTTTTAATCAAGGTTATCAAAAATTTCGTAAGGTAAAAGAATACTTAACAACTCACTGAGCAACAAATGGTCATGCAACGAATGTAATTCTCTGGAACCATTTTAAACAATCTTTGATAGAAGGCACCATTAAAGAAAAATTAATAGCTCTAACTAAATCAACAATACTTGAAAGAAGAGAATATTTGAAACGATTATTCAAAATTATAATACTATGTGGTAAGTTGGAACTTCCCCATAGAGGTCATTATGAAAGTAAGACAAGCAATAATCAAGGAAATTATTGTGAAATATTAAACTGTTTGAAAGAGTATGATCCATTTTTAATAGCATATAAACCACCAGGCAATGCTCATTATTGCTCACCTCAATCACAAAATCAAATGCTATCTGCAGCTGGAAACTTAGTAAAGTCATAGCATCAGAAATAAGGGAGGCAGGCTATTTTGCTGTCATGGCTGATGACACTCGTGATGTTAGCTCATATGAGCAATTTAGTATATGTGTTAGATATGTTGATAAAACAAAAACACCAAAGCAATCTTTTATATCTTTTCAAAAAGTTGAAGACTTAGATGCAGAGTCATTAACGAAGACATTAATAACAACCTTAAACAACAATTCCATAAATGCAATTTGCGTTGCTCATGCATATGATGGTGCAAGTGTTATGAAAGGGCATCTTTCAGGAGTCCAGGAAAGATATCGCCAAAATCACAAAATATGTGCACTGCTATGAGCATAAACTCAACCTTGTACTGATCTCTGCCTGCAAATCAGTACCTCAATCTAGAAAGTTTTTTAATGTATTAGAAGTTATTCATGCTTTTTTCTCAATATCTGTTATCCATCACAATAAATTTCTTGATTTGCAATTAAGATTAGGGTTAAAATCCAAAAATATTGATGCCTTGAGTTCTACACCTTGGGGATCCCATATTAGAACTATAGAGGCAGTAAAAATGACTTTCCCTGCAATTATTTCTTATCTAGAAAATATAGACCATGGTGATATGGTGAAAGCAAAGGGAATTTTATATATTCTTTTACAATATGATACAATTATGTGTATGTTTATATTCCAAAAATTATTATCTATGTGTTCCAATATTTCTATTTTTTTGCAAAAATCAGATTCGGACATATCAACAGCATTGGCTCTTATTGAGTCTCTTATCAGTTCTTTGTCAAATTTAAGAAATAATTCGTATTTTTCTTCATTATTTACCGAAGTAAATAAATTTTGCAATTTATATAATATAAAAATAACAAATAAAAGAGCAAATATACCTTCTACCATTTTGAATAATTATATTCAAATAGATGATATTGTTTCTTCTAATCATTCTGATCAAACAGAAACTTTTTATAAGTGTCATGTTTTTTATCCAATTTTGGATATTATGATAAATGAATTAAAAAAGAGATTTTGCCAAGAAAACACAGATATTTTAATAGCTATAAATGCTTTACATCCCTCTTCCCCCCTTTTTTTAAATAATGTTATCATTAAACCTTTTATCTTACATTATAATCTTCCTGATCCAATGGAAGAATACATAATATTAAAGGCTTATATTTTAACCTATAATAAAAAACACGAATCTACGTGTAAATCAATAATAGATTTGGTAAAAATCTTACCCATAGATATATTCCCTCGTATATTTAATTGCCTTAAAATTGCGTTAACTATACCTTTTAATTCCTGCTCATGTGAAAGATCATTTTCAGCATTAAAACGGGTGAAAACATATCTTCGATCGACAATGGGTCAGGAACGATTAAATTCGTTGGCTCTATTGAGCATAGAAAAAAATATTATTAATACCATTCCTATAGATCACATTATAGATGAATATGCAATAATGACTAGCCGGCGTAGAGAACTTATTTTATAAATAATTTAACCTTATAATTTTTGAAACGCAATTTTAGGCGTTAGTATCTGCGAGTAAATATATCGTTTAATATTTATTTTATAAATTTTCTTTTCATATCCAAAATTAGCTAAAAGACATGGTGCTTATTAAAAAAATATAGGAAAAAATCAGAAAAAACAGTAAATGCTTTCTTTTGATATGACCAAAGTTTCTGAAAAATTTAATTAAAAATTTGAATACATTGACAATACAATAATATATAAGATCTTAATTGCTTTC